GTTTCACTTCCTCTTAATCGTATAAGCTCGATGAAGGATAGACAGAAGTAAATGTACTCGTTCGTTACATATTCTTCAGTGTGAGATTTCCTCGATAAACGATAACGTTTCTAAATCGATCCTAATTATGTAATACCGTTATTGTCGAGAATATAAGCGAAGTGAAGATTAAAACGGCATTAATTTTTATATTACACAAGTCTCACACTGATGTATTTGGAAAGTAGAGAAGAGACGTTATTATGGACGAAAGAAGTCTCGATATTTTCGAACAAGATTTTCTTTTCACACAACAATACCTATTTTTCAATCATATTTTTCACGAATGTTCTGAATCTATGGAGAAAAAGAACACGAACACGTACTACAGGCTCTTTCTTCGGAGATTTTAACGGGGTAACGTTCTACCAAAGAGCTTTGCCGATACGTATAATATAACGCGAAGGAACTTTGTGAAGGACGTCAAGTGTGTGAAGGATAGTAAGATCCCTCGAAAGGACAGAATGTCTTTGGCAAAAGTCACTTACAGCTTTGCGCTTTGGCGACCGAATTTCGTTCATTCCTTGTACCTTTTACAATTTCTCTTCCATTACGGAAAGAATATACTTGAATAATCATCAAATCACTAGGTCGTGCTATATGAAATATCGGATTTTTCAGGGAGGAATTAAAATTGTTTTTTTTTTTTGAAATTCGAACAAACATTACCCTTAGATTCACCAACTTATCAAGAACTGTAATCACTTAAGCGATCAATTCGCAAATAATTAGAAACCCGACTTTTCATATTGCACAACTTAATAATTATTTCTCCAGTCGTAGAATTTAGAGTTTAACCCTTTGAGGTCCTCTGTAACAAATACGTCTGATTCATTTCAAAACTGTATTACTCGTAGATACAACGTAAAATATTCTCGAGTTGAAACCGTTAAAAGGATTTCGGTGTAAGCTGCGTTTCTTTGCAAAATAAAGTCGACGTTTTACCAGTATTAGTCAGCTTTATCAGAAGGGTTTTATCATTGCTAATACCGAATCAATATCTCTATTGACACTGGTATTGCCACTGACATCAGTGTTCTAAATATTCGAATTTCCGAGTACTGAAATATTTGGATACACAGGTATTTGAATATTCAACTGCTCAGGTACTTGGGTACTTGAATACGTAGGTACTTTGGTGGTTAAGTATTGAGGATACAGGTGAAGTTGAATACTCGAGTATTTGGTATACTTAGGTGAGTAATTAAATACTTGAGTACTTGGGTATTTGGATAATTGGGCACTTGAGAACTTGAGTACCTGAGTACTTGGATACTTGGGACTCAGGTACTTGAGTACTTGAGATTTGAGAATATGGTTCCTTAGATACTATAATAGAATGGCCTGGGTACTTGGGTGCTTGAATTCTTGGTACTCAGGTACTTGGGTACTACAGATTTGGGAACTTGGTTGCACCGACACTTGAATACATGAGTGCTTGGGTGTTTAATAGATAGGTACTTGGTTCTTAGGTACTTAAGTACTAGAAATTTGGGAACATGATTGCTTAGATACTTAAATACGTGGATACTTGGGTGCTTGAATAGTTGAGTATTTGGATACTTGAATACTTGGATGTATCACTACTTAAGTACTCTAATATTTAGTTGCTTCGGTGCTTGGATACTTGAATACTTGAGTATTTGACAACGTAAGTATTTGAATATTTGGTTACTTGGATACTTGGATGTATCACTACTTAAGTACTCTAATATTTAGTTACTTGGATACTTAGACATTTGGGTGATTGGTTATAAAGATGCTTAGATATTTTAGTACCCAAGTACTTGGGTTCTCTGAATATGTTTAAACTTAACCAGTTAACAATAACTACTACAAATTAAGACGCTTAGAGTACAATAACAATATGACACAGTATTTGTTTCACAAAGTGTTAATATTCTACAACATGTGGTTAAAAACAGTTGGAAATCGTACTTTTCCCAATTATGAACGATTTCGTGTCACCTATGGACAGCGCGGACGGCAAGGCGAAAAGTCGAGGACGAATTTCTTTACGTTAAGGACGAAGTCAGAAGGAGAATATAGTAACTAATGGTAGTATGAATAATCAAGAAACAAAAGAACATTTCCTCTGGTTCGTTCCTGGCAGTGGCGCGAAGGGAAGGGAAGGGACGGTGGCTTGAGGCTGGCTCGGTTTATGGACACAAATTAGAATCACCTGTGTCTATCGCATAATTGCTCAACTTAACAAATCACTTCCAAAGAATAAAATAACCTTCTTTTTAACATAAATACGAAACATTTGAAGAAACAAAACAGGTAATAAAGAGTAACAAAATAAACATGGGAAGAAAAAAATATGAAACAAAATGTTAATCTTGAAGTTTTATTCCATCGATTGTTAGCTAATGTTAACTAAGGGGAAAGAAAATATAATAAATACGAATTTCCGTTCTGTTGGTTAAAACCAGGTAGACACAGGCAATACGATAACTATACGGTATAAATATAATAATAGTGACAACTGATCAATTGATTGATAGTCAATAAACGATCGATAAAATTCTCTTTAGGTACTCATCTGGATTCCGCGATGAAGCTGACAAAGTGCTAATAACAAATTTGATTAAAGACGGTTCATAATAAACGTACACGTTACGTACACATGCAGGATATACTCCTTACATAAAAATTTCATCATGACTCAAAATAAATATTACTCTAAGTAAAAGCGTAAATCCGTTGAATACAAAGCGTATGCAATAAATATTAAACAGTTTTCTTTTTCTTTTTTCTTCTTCTTGCTTTTCGATAAACATTGGAATACAAGAAATTTCTCAAGACTTGAAAATCATGTGGATCTCGGTACAAAAACTATAATGAGTGTACAAATTGTACAGTAAAAAACGCATTTAAATATCCTGCACAATGTACCAAGCACATTATGCTTCTGCATCTCTACGAAAATACACGCACGCTCACACACACGCTCGCGCGCACTTCGGCGCTCGATCGAAATTTCGATTCGATGGACGAATCTCGCAGAGACATTAGATGCGCGTACATTTTTTTTTCTTTTCATGGAAATGGAAATTTCGTTTGCGTGCACTACAAATCAACGTCGTGCCACTTTTTACGCTCTCTCCTCTTGTTTTCTTTTTCGTTTGTTTTTCATTTACCTTACACTCGTAACATTCTGCTTCGACAGAATGAAATGAAAATAACAAAAAAAAATTGTGGATTACAACGAATCTGATTTCGAATTAACAAATGTATAAATCAACAGGTTGCAATAAGCGTTAAAGAAACGAGAAAAGTAGCGTGCATATTCGTGAATAACATACAGTCACTTTCGATTACAATTGGTAATCAGTTTGTTGCATTTTGCTAATTAATAGCTCCGACAAATGATAAAAAAAGTAGAGATCGGTTAAACTGATCAATATCAAAAAGTACAGCTGCTAGTTTCGAAAGGACAGTTAAAATAGATAAATAGCGATAAATTAACAACAATTAAAAATACTATAATAAAAATATCAGCAGCAAATGCAATAATAGCACTAATAATTATAAATATAATAATAAGAAGCTGCCAAACTGATTGAATAAAATTGATTTAAAGCCTGTTTATGCTGAGTTCCATAAAAGAAACTATTAAAAAAAAAAATTCTTTTTCTCCAGAAAAACTTTTTCTCCAAAATCACGAAGTACTATCATACAACAATTTAGGAAACAAAAACGAGTTAAAATGCCATTGTACCAGAGACATCGAGAAAACAATGATCAATGTAAAAAATGTAAAATGAAATACAGGTAAAATAATATTTACGTGCAAACGGTCAAATAATACTTCTCTGTCACGAACAAACCATCTTGTTAATCTGAGAATCTACTTGGAGATGGGTCCCTAATTCAGTTATTCTGCTACTCTGTATGGTTTTTTTTTAGATTTCTCAATTCTACAACGTCTACGGTGTTTCTTTCATTCTACTTTGATTATAAACGCTACTATCGCGCACAATAATATTGTCTCTATGGTATGCAATGTAAAGTTCTCGTTTTTCCTTTCGTTTGTTTACCTAAAAAACAGTATACGTTCATTTTATCGTGCATTCCCATTAATACAAAAAAGTCTGTGTCGGTCATTATAGTTATTATATAACCATATGAACCATCCATGCGGAATTATTTGTTATACGTTTACACAATGATACCTAACGTCATACTGGAAAGAAAAAGTATAGATCTAGCTACGAAAAAAGAATACAATTGCTAAAAAAAAATGTAGAAATAAACACATATACAATTAAAACGTACATCTTTCTTAAGAAAGAATAATCAATTAAAAATCAATTAAAAATCAATTCATTATAGATATCATTAAGCGTGCTACTCGCGGGGAATCGATTAGAAGATTCTCCATGAATAAATCTCCAAGCATAGAATGTTTAAACAATTCTGTAACAATGTCGCACGAAATAAAAAATCTTGCACAACAGAAGTATACATTCTATGCTTGCCAGACATCTTTACTAACAATATTGGTAACAGAAAGGCAGAGTTTCCTATAAAATCCTACGATATGGAGCAACTTCGATTCAAGAGAATATGAATATTTAATGCTTTCCAAAAACATCCTGCTCTGCGTCTTTTACCTAAAGCATATTGAAAAAGAATTCTCTTCATAACGAGGACAACCATTTTCATCTTTCATCCTTATTGAATAGGGTCGAATTTTGCAAAAATATTCTTACAAAATGGTACAAGAACGTTTCTGTACCCTTTCTATTCTATTTCTATCGTGAATTACTCGTCAAAGAAAGTATATGTAACGCAGAATTGATTTTCTTTTTTCATACTGTGACTATCGTAAAAAGCAACGTTCGAAAAGCGCAGTTAATTGTTTCTATTCTTTTCTAGTCGTATGAATAGTCCGATGTTGAGCAATAAAAAATTGAAAAGTTCAAAATCCTCGTTTTTCTCAAAACAGCTTGCTCCACATCTTCATCATTTTCTAGAAGAAATCTCTGCCTAAATGAGGACGGTTCGTCTGTTGCATCAGTCGCATTCTACCTCGTCCATTTGCACTAGTGGCGTGTCTTCGAGTGCTTCGTAATTCTCGATCAACTTCCAACTCCTCCAGTTTCATGGTCAGAACGAGCTTTTGTTGAACCGCCAATCGTAGCAACGAGTTCAATGTCTTCCTATCGTCCTCCGCCACGGCTAGTTGACGTTGCAACTCGTCAACCTGTGTCACGTATTCTTCGCAACGTGCGGCGAACACTGCACGTAAACCTGAGGAGAGTGTGGTTAGCAGGTATTAACACCAAATACGAAGGAGCCCATGAAGAGCATGATATTAAATTAAAGAACGAAACATTAGTTGTATAAGAAGAAAAATTATTCTTAAAAATCGTAGTGAGTAATGTAACATCTTCAATGACTAGTTTAAGTATTACAAGATAATAAAAGTACAAGAAATTCTTTGTAAGTTGTAAGTTATTAGTGATTTTCGTTTTTAGTAACAATTTTAGTTTCACATTAGTATTCTTCAACATGTCTCATACGTATTATACTACAGGGTATATCGTTTAACTTTAAACGATGTAATACCTCACGAGGGGTTGAAGTTATCAAAAAAATGTTCTTGCAAAAGTTGTTTGGTATCAAGGGGGTCATTGCGTAATATAAATAATTTTGCAGTAGGTGCAGTGGGCGGGGGAGGGGGATATCAAAGTCAAGTTAATTTTTTTAAATAGAACCCTGTATCTTTGAATTCATGGTATAGTAACGTTTGTTGAGACGAATACAATGACCTAACACATGATATCATTCCATGCAGAGAAAGTCATAAATTAGATCCGGAGTTAGATGAACGCAAGCTGCTAGCGTACGTGGCTGTATCGGCTTGTAGTTATGCCACGTCAATCAGGCTGTGCACTGGTTTCTTATCTCCCCTTATGTCTCGATCTTAAAGGTCCTTTTCACATGACTGCGCTATCCATTTATACCAAATTAATTCTTCCATTTTTTACCAAATGTTCTCCTTACTATAAAGGAAGTGCCAATATCGTAACAGTGAAGACGAAAATCCATTTACGTACAGTTTTTTACAATACTGGCACTTCCTTCATAGTAGGGAGAACGTTTGGTGAAAAATGGAAGAATTAATTTGGTATAAATGGATAGCGCAGTCACGTGAAAAGAACCTTTAAGGTCGAGACATAAGGGGAGATAAGAAACCAGTGCACAGCCTAATTGACGTGACATAACTACAAGCCGATACAGCCACGTACGCTAGCAGCTTGCGTTCATCTAACTCCGGATCTAATTTATGACTTTCTCTGCATGGAATGATATCATTATCCCCCCCCCCCCCCTGCACCTACTGCAAAATTATTTATATTATACAATGTCCCCCTTGATTCCAAACAACTTTTGTAAAAATATTTTTTTGATAACTTCAAACTCCCGTGAGGTATTCCATTGTTTCCAGTCAAACGAAACACCCTGTATATTTAGAGAAGTATATGAATGTATTTTATTATGAAATAAAGCATATTGTTGATATCAAACTCTCAGTGCGAATGCATAGTCAACTGCAGCGCAACTCGTTAGAAGTAATAAAATGTACATAAATGCTGGTAATAATTATATTAGTATTATGTTAATACGTTAACATAAGAATGTTAGTAAAACAAAAAATAGAAGAAAAGGATAATTAACTATGCTCGTAAGTATCGTCTTAAATATCGCTACTATAACAATAGCGTATACATTGTTATAATAATTTAATTGAACTTTACGATTAACTTACTTGAGAATGTTGCTGCATTCTCCTTCAACATTCTAAGTTCATTTCTTAGTTTCAACATAGTCTCGTTAACAATACTCTTCTCGTTCTCGTATTTGCCCTTTAAGTTCGTAAGTGCCACTTCGGCGGTATTTTTATTCGACTTCAGCACTGTTCTCAAGGTCGCAACTTGCTCGCGTTTAGCCGACAGCAGTGCCTTCAATCTAATTACTTGCTCTTGTAAGTCTGCCACTTCCGCCTTGTTCTCATTACCGGATCCTGTAATTTGCAATGAAAAAACGGTATATCACAAATTATGCATCAATCGAATAAGCAAGGTAAAATTAAGAAATTCCTCCGGCTCACCCTCGCAAACATTGCAGACATTCGACTGCATTCCTTTGACTTTGGAAAGTTCAATTGTGTGCTCTACGGCGCTTCTCAAATGCTTTATCTGATCCATAGCAGTCTCTATATGTTTCGCGACTTCTTTCGCTTTGCTCAGACTCTCTAAGTCATTAATTTGAATGTCGGTCTTGAACAACGTCCTGCACCATTCTATCTTTCCATTCTCCTCCTCCTTCTCGGGAACGATCTTTTCATGATCAAGAACCACCCGTGAAGGAATCTCTCCGTTAACAGTGCAAACGTGATGATAAAGTTGAGCAAGCTCGTCGGAGATATTTTGCAAGTCATTTTGTGCAGAATCGAGGAAACCGCCAGCTTCCACTGCGAGAGTCGAAAGAGTAGCAATGTCGGATTCGAGTTGCAAGCTTCTTTGTTCTGTATCTAAAAGCTGAAATACAGTAAACAATTTTTATATTCGTATGAATATTGTTTGGTACAGACAAGACTGTTTTTATCATTTGCTGTATATTCATTGCGATTTTATATATGTAATATCAGTTTTAAAAACTTCGATTGTAAAGTCAGATTGTTTACATTTAAAAAAAAAGGTACTTGACAATTGAAGTGATTTTTTTTTGCAAGACTAGAAGATCATGTATAGAATGTCTGTTTGAACGTCGTGCAAACAGGCTCTGTGAGTCTGACTCATGCTACGTTAGATGCAAGTGGAAACGACAGTAGAAGAAGAGTTTTCGTTGAGTTTTTGTTCCTAAGCACATTCTATTTTAAAGCCACAGTGCATAGCGATTGAAATCCGTACATTTATTCGAGCATTTGATGAAAGAACATTCAAATAGACAGCTGATGTGTCAACTCGTTTGTGAAAATAATAGGGTAGAACACATAGAACATTTGTAAAGATTTTCACAAAAGAGTTTACAGAATTTACGATGATATATTCGTAAGTAGCCACAGGAACATGTGTAGTTAAGAATATGAAATAATCAAAAGCAACGATGATTTGTTAGGACACTGAAAAGCAATCTGTACGGATCATTAAAGGAGCCAAAAGAAAAAATTGTTATTATAATAGTTGGTAAATATGTCAAAGGGACCACACGTTCCAACCTTTTCTCGAAGGCTCTTCTCTGACTCTGGGATCTGAAATGCCATAATTTCTATTCAAAGTCTAAATTTTGAATGTTAAATGTCATTGTGTCAGAGTCACAGTTTATTTGTTATTTACACGTACCGAATTTTTACATTTGAAATTTTTACACGTATCGACTTACATTTTTATTCTTCACAATATTTGCCGCAATGATGCTGTTTATAAATTTATGAGACAAAGAGCATTATACAAAAATGAAAAAAAAATAAAAGGACGACCATAAATAGATGAAACTAAAAAGAGTAAAATAAAATATGAAGAAAATGATAAAAAATAATATACCTTGTTTCTCAGATTTGTTAATTCTGTACGTAATTGTTGAGTTGAATCAGATATAGTTAAGCCATTTTCTAATTCAGCTAGATCCTTCTGAAGTTGATTTACTTCACGTGCAGACATAGTACTCCACTGGTGATATTGCACTATTGCCTACGATAAAACATAAATAATACATACAAGTCCAAAATATTGTAAGAAATTGATAAAAACTTATTTTAATATATTTTGCATACACACTTGATTCAACTTATCCAATGTTGTTTCTTCAGTTTGTTTCTCGGGTAATTTGGAATGAAGGTGATGTAATGACTGCACATGAGCTGCTAACTGCACTATGCGCGCAACAAAGGATTGTAATTCATTCTGACTTTTTTCAACTGCATATTGCGATTCTCGTAAATTTTGTGTAAGATGAGCTTTCTCAGATTCTGCTAATTCTAATTGTTTTTCTAGTTTCTTTAATTCATTCAAATGAATTTCAGAGAATAAATCAACTTGCTTATCAGTAGCAGAGGTACCTGGTTCTTGAGTTTTTAAATCTGCCTCAATTCTGCGTAATGCAGGGGAATCATCTTCTCCATCACTACATATTGTTTGATCTTCTGTAATTTCTCTAATTGAAAGTGCAAGATTGCTAAGATTATAAATTGATTCGCTATTAATTCTTTGATCTAGCTCTTTTTTCAGAGCATATTTAGCTTCACGCTCAGTTTGCAGAGATTCAAGAGCTTCTTCCATTTGCTTTTCAGCAATTTTTTTTAAATTTGTTAATTCTTCAACTTGACTATTTAGAAGTTCCACTTCCTCTGTCAATCTTCTTATTTCATGTTTGGCACCTTCGAATTCTACTTGACTGGACCTTAAACCAGACACTTGTTTCTGTAATGAAATATTCTCATCTTCCAATTCTGAGTAATCTTGAAGAAGTCGAGCTTCTCGAAATCTACATTCACGTAACATAAAACGTAAGTTTTTTTTTTCTGTTTCTGCTTGTTGATGATCTTTTCCAACTTCTTCTTTTTCTTGCAGCGCATGATCACATTCTGCTCGCACACGCTCCAATTCATGTCGCAACTGAATAATAAAACAATATTAAATGAAAAATATATAAAACAAAAAAGTTATTATTTTTGTCTTTAAAAATAAGACATGTACCTGTTTTGCTTCATTTTCCAACTCAATAATTTGTATCTGAAGGGATGTTTCTCGAGCAGCACTTTCGTTAAGAAGAGTTTCTTCTTGTTCTATGCCACTTTTTGTGGTCAGTTTTGTAGTTGTCTGAAACTTATGATTATAATAATAATAATAAATCTTTCTTTAATGATAATAAATATTTTAATAAAACGTAAGCACGTTTAATTGCCTTACTAGAACATAGCATAATTAATACCCAATAATCATGATCCGATTTACAGCAAACATATGTTAACAAAATTAAAAATTAAAAATACAACTAATCATTACAGAAGTTTCTCGATAAGTGACAACTAGGCAATTTATATACACCGAAATGTAAAAGAAAATTGAACTAACCTCTTGCGTGATTTCTAGCTCGTGTTTCGTGTTTTCGTAGAGGGCCTCGAGATCGTTGCATCTTTGTTGTAGAGTAGACTTCTCCTCGAGCAAAGCGAGACCGTATTGAGCAGATTGTATTTTTTCTGTAGAAGCTAAATCTAGTTCCCGTGAAAGTCTCTCGATCTCGATCCTGAGCTCCTCTGTCGTGACTTCTTCTGTCGAGGCCATTGCTGTGCGCACCGTCCAAAATTACTTCGCTCCCTTTTCCGTCAAATGCTTCCTCGTCGTTACCGTAAATAAATCGAAGCATCGGCAGCCGTAATGTGTTTTGAACGTCAAGGCATCATGCGAAAGTTTGTAACGCAATTTTCTTGGCGTGCCCGCTTTCCAAAGCCTCACATCTTCCGAAAATTCACGACCGTTTGACAGACGTGAGATTAAGGCGAGAGGGCACGGGGAAACTCACACGAACCGGATACATGTTCCTACACATGTTCCATGTTCCTAGATTCCCGTTCCACGATTCCACCGTTTCATTATATTATGCTACATGACATTGTAATTTTTAGTTACTGGAATTTTAATGATTTCCTTTCATTTAGAACGAATAAATATCTCACCTTTCTTTTATTATAAAAATTTCCTATCTTTAAACGCACTACATATGTCCTCAGGCTATTACTTAAAACCTTAAATAATAAATGAAAATCCTCTATTCTAACTGATGAGATTCATGGGATTCATTTTGTTGATTCATCTTTCAAGAAATGTATGGTACATTTTCATGTGTCAAAGTATCAAATAAAACTTCATCAAGAAATTTCTCATACAATATAAATCAATAATAATCTATTATTATAGACTACTGTTTTTGT